GGAGATGCCCTAGGAGAGAACAGGGAGACCTGAGGATGCCCATGCCTCACGCTCCACCCACTCGGGGCTCTAGCCTCGGCGCCCTGGCCGCGGCCAGCCTGCCCCTGCATCTTTGGTCCACCTCTGCGCACGGCGGGTTGTGGCTGGGACCTCGGCGGTCCATCCACCCAGCACATCGCCTGTCGTCGTCACCGAGTGAGTGACTGGGGGAAGTGGGGCCACGCGGGCAGGCCCGACCCAGGTCAGGGAGGGCAGAGCAACCGCACGGCCGGAGCCCGCACGGACACCGCCCTCCCTCCTGCCCACCCCCCCAGCGCACATCTTCCTTAGGGTCATTTATGAACGACACAAGGTGTTGATTAGCTGGTGTCGACTCTGCAGAAAGAAGACATTCTAAAACTGCCTTCTGAAAAATAGCGTAAGAAATAATAGTGCTTTCCTGCTGTAGACAAATGGGCTGGAAACCGAGGGTCCGTGGGTCGGTACCATCTGGGCCCATTCCCACTGTGACAGGAGCACTCAGACACTGGGAGCCACCCAGAGAGAGCGGCATCTTCATCCTGACTTACCTTTCCTCCTGGCTCCCCCTCGCTTCCTTTTTCGCCCTGTAAAGAACATAAACAAGGAATGCTCGTTAATTAAGAACAGTAACACTTAAAGGGCATCAGAGTTTGAATTGTCTTCCTTAAACCCTGGAAACGATGGTTAGAAATGAGCTGTAGCACGACTCCCGAACTTCGCAGCTTCAACATTCAAGGGGAACAAGGGGCTACTTCTCCTGGATTTTCCCACATAAATGAAATCACGTGTTAGTCGGTCTCTCTCCCATCTGTGCAGTTTCCTTCTGCACCCACAGCGGCAGGCAGCAAGGCCAGGGAGACCCCCAGTGACGGTGTCCGTTTGAGGGAGAGCTCTTATCAGGAGGGTCCTCGGAGGAAGCAGCTCCTTTGGGATGTGTTAAAACCCTGAGCAGAAGTGGCCTTAGAAAGCAAGGTCAGTCCTACACGGTCGATGTCTCCCTCTCCTTTTGGTCTAAAACGAGGAAAGAAATAGTGCCGGGCAGGGTCCTTCCCCCCATCAGTCCTAGGCCAGCACCTGGACACGTAACCGCCTCCTCTGGCCCCGCCCAGCCACCTCCCAGGTCACTTTTGTGAGTGGCCGCGTTGCTCGTAACAGCCGAACAGCCGCAGCTGCCGGGCTGACTTCCCCGTGGCCGTGGTCCCGCCTGCCCTGCCTGCTCCCATGCGCGACCCGGCTTCCTGACAGACGCCCGAGAGATGGGAACCACCTTCCACGTTCGGGGTTTTCACTTGGGTTCCCACGACCTCGCAGGAGCGTTCCGCCCCTGTGTCCGCTCCGCCGCTCCGCGAGGTCAGTGCAACCCGAGGTCAGGGCTGCAACCTTCGTTCATCACAAGCAGACTCAGGCTCAGGAAGGGCAAGTGGGCTGTGTGAGCCAGTGAGCGGTAGAGCAGGGTGTTAATTTTTGTGGACTCCAAGAATATGCTTTTAATCAAACAAAACATTAATAGAAATGGTAAGAATCAGAAAGCTGACTTCAATCCAAAAAGCCCACCACAGTGGTCCGCGTCAGCGAAGAGTGAAAAGTAGGTTTTATTTTGCCGAATACATTTGGTTCCCACAGTCCACATCGCGGTGTTGACCTGCGCCCCGACCGCCAACCTAGGTCTACGCTAGAGACTTTGGATGGTTCGAGATTTTTTTATACTCAGTTTAGTTTTTGGAGCAGTGTTTTCAAAAAGTTTTGTTTCATGTTTAATGGGAGTATTGGGGAATGAACCTAGGACCTTGTCCACGCTGAGCACGTGCTCTGCCCTTGAGCTATACCCCGATCTCCTGGATTTGAAATTTCTTAAAATGGATTCTTGTGTCGTTTCAAATTCATCACAATTATTTACAACGACGGACGGATACACCTATGGGACCGTGAGCAGTGTTTTCATGTGTACTCTGCCAATTTGTCAGCGAGGGCTTTCCCACTTTGAACGTGATTGTTTCTGTAAGATCAAAGAATGTTACCGTTTTTCCTTCTTCTTTTTTTTTTTTTTCTATTTCAACTGGGAATAAGCCATTTTGCTGAAGCCCCTTTACCTTATACTGATCTAGGTGGATCGTCTCCTTCGTGGGCCCAATGATGGCACGTTGGTTGTCTGACGGAATCCCGTTGGGTCCCGGCTGTCCCATGTCACCCTGTGAATGGTTTAGCAAAGCAGCCTCGTCTTTAAATTGAGGAGACGCGATCGAGGTTGAAAACAAGCATGCTCCACCACAAATTGCTGGCTTCATCCTTGCATGTTACTTATTACACGGAAACCAATTTCACGGCATTATAGTCACAATGTAGTGTAAAAATCACTTATAAAATAAAACGGTCATAATGCAAAATTGATTCCTACTTGCATTAATAATCACTTAGAATGTATGCATACAAGCTGCTTAGGCGGTTCACAGTTTGGGAATGCGCTGGCTTCCGCGGAATTACCACCTCACCGTGAATTTCTACACAAGGAAATTCTTAGGCCTGGAGGCTACATGTCCTGGTGGTTTCTGCTGTGGACTCACTGATTTAAGATTGGTCCTGAGACACAAGAAACGCCTAAGAAATGGAAGACCACTCCATTCCACCACTACTCTACCAGATACGTTTTTTTTAAATCTATAATAAAGAGCAGCAGCTTTCATAAACAGCATCTCAGGGGCGCTTTCATTTGCATTGTTATCAGCACAGAGAGATGCTTTTTCACACGGTAAACAGGTGGGAAGCCCCTGATCTGCAGGAGTGTCCGTGACCCTGACCGCTGCTCCTCAGTCACCGCTGGATACCAGATGTCAGAGGACGCCACGGAGAAACGCCTCGGCTTCCCGGGCGCTGAGGACGCCGACGCCGCGTCTCCGTCTGGGGTCGGGGCCTTTGACCGTCCTGCTGACCACAGCCTTCTGACTGCACAGCGGCTGTTCCTAGGGAGGTGGTCTGCAGAGCGCCCCAGGTGACGGCACAGAACGCAGCCGTTGAAACGGTCTGCTTCCTAATCCAGCCCGCGAAGCTTCCCTTACCTTTTCACCTTTTTCTCCGTAGAAACCAAGTCCCCTGTTGCCCTGCAAGACAGACGGTTTCTGTAAGGTTTAAAAAGTCCACAATCACAGTGAAATAGAAGTAGTGATTTTTTTTTTAGAAAAAGGCAACTAAGACCTATGTGTTTGCAACATTTCTGGACAACGGTCCTTGCACCGTATTCCGGCTTCAGCTCCCGGGAAGTAAGCGACACAGAAAGAAAATGACTGGCCTTTCTTTGGCTATTTCCACACACAAACTCAAACAAACGTGTGAGCCCGCGTTGCACACGGTACGAACAGGAGCAAGCTGAGATGCCGCGCCAGCTGCAGAACGTGGCCCTTCCTGCTGTATTCTGAGCGTTCACTGAGACTCAGCCTTAAAGGATGGAAACTCTGGGGTTCAAAAAGCGATATAACTCGTCTTTTAACACAGTTGTGCCTTGAAGAAATTTGTATTTTATTTTTCCTTTTTGGGGGGGAGCAATCAAGTTATTTATTTATTTTTAACAGAGGTACTGGGGATTGAACCCAGGACCTCGTGCGTGCCAAGCACCACTGAGCTATCCCCTCCCCCAAAATCTGTATTTTAAACTCAAAACAAAACCTCAAAAATAGTGGGCTGAGAGCAGATATTCTGTCTCCCCGGGGAACACTCTGTCATTTGCTTTTTGGAATCTATTTTATCGCTCAACCCTCCTGATGACCAGGAAGTTGACACTGCTGGTTCCACACTGGCAGGCTGGGCTGCGAGAAGCCAGGGCCCGGCCAACGGCTGGGCTCCCTCTTCATCCTGGCACCACACGGCGGGTCTGGGCACCGCAGACAGTGCAGGTGTCCACCCCTGGACCGAAGCCCCTTAACTCAGAAGCGGTGGAGACCAGGTCTGACCCAGGTCTCCCGGAGCCTTCGTCGCTCTTACGTCAGCTCTAGACAGCAAAGGCTCAGAGCATTTCCTTGGGTTCCGGCCCCTTTGGACTCAGAAAGCAGCCTTTTCCCGCCTTGGGTCCCATCTTTAAAGACCATGATTCATTCTCTCCTCTGCCTCAGACCTTCTCAGTTTGGTGAGATAACCCTACTTCCACAGAAACATATCCCATCCTCTCAGTGATTTGGATTTACCCAAATTTTCATCTTTTTTGCTTAAGAGTTTGCAAAGCGAGGTTGGCGACCCAGCAAGTATTTGATCGTTTCACGAGGGGAGCTGCCACGTGCAGGAGGGTTGCGCGAGGACACAGCGTCTGAAGTCCACGCAGACGGCCATGCAACAGACCCACGCGCATCACAGGAAGCCCTCCGCTCTCTGACTTCCCGATGGCTCTGCTCCCTTCCCAGGGACCTTACATTTCCGTCGTGACAAAGGCTCCTGCAAGGCCCTGTCTGATCTCTCTCTGCCCCATGCTGTACACCCCCCTCCAATGCCCAGAGTTTCTGAAGATGAAAACCAAGCCTTTAATTAATTTTGGCTTTTGCTTTGTTTCTTTCCCACCTGGCTGGGAGCAGGAATCAAAGCACAGAAACACAGCCAGGCTCGAGGAGAATGCCATTGGCCTGGGCCCCCGCGGTCCCCCTGCCTCGTGAGCTGATGTCCGAGTCTCCAGGAAGTGACACAGTGGAGGGTGAGGGCTGTTTGTGCTGCAGCCAAGCGGGGATCTGAGGTGACCTTGGGGCTCGGCTGCCCTGTCCGACATCCGCTCCTCTTGGCTCAGGGCTGTTCCCAGCCTGCTCCAGGCTGCTAGACAGTGGGGAGCCAGGCAGGGGGGTGGGGTGGGGGTGGGCAGCATCCTTAATGAGCTCCAGCCGCAGCCGGAAGCCAGGTCAGAGGTGGTGGGAGCTGGGGCCTGGGGTGGTGACAGCTGAGGTCCCCAGGGGGTCAAAGAGATGGGGTTTCCACGGGGCAGGCATGGGAATGGCAGGCTAGGAGTCGTCCTGGGCCACATGCAGGCCATGGAATGTCTTAAACATTCATAATGGTGGCCCCGTATTTCTGACTCATGTTGAGTTTTGACCAAATACTTCCCTCGCCAACCTCCTACTGTTTGTCCTGGACACTTACCCAACTTCCCTGGGTCACATTAAACCCTAATTCCGCCTCCATGCTCCTAACAAGCCGCCCCTTTTGCTGTGCTTCAGCCAGCTGAGTCATCTTTCTCTGATGAAAACAGTACAGCTCGGGCCCCAGACTGGCTTGAAGCTCACTGACTCCATCCCGAGAGGCGGACATCACACTCTGGCAGGCTCTCCCTGCACCCAGGCACGAAGGCCATCGGCTGCCCCACACCTGCAGCGACGCCTTGTCCGTTCCGTAAACCAGCACCTGCGGGTCGTGAGCACGCGCTGCCCCGAGCTCGGCCTGGCCTACGTGTCTAGTCAAACCCTCATCAGCTGGCTCTTCACGGAGCTGCAGGAACGCTACGCAACGTGCGAACAAGTCACTCCACATACCCGCCCACTAGTGGCCGTCCAGGGGCACTGCTGGAGTTGTCCTTGGCATTTATAACATGAAGCCTTAAAACCTACAGAACGGTCCTCATCATGAGATAAACGACACACAGTTGTCAGCCAAGCAGCCCCACGGCCAAGGAGGGCGCTCACAAGCACGCGGCCCTCTTCCCTCCCCTCCCCCAACAACCGACTTACTGGCTGTCCTTTCGGTCCAGGGGGTCCAGGCGGGCCCTGCGCAAATACAAAGAAGCGTGTAAACTGTTTCCTTTATCCCAGGACCCAGATCCCATCTGCTAGAACGCTCTGGGGAAGCCAGCCGCTGTACACTGAGAACACCGGGCAGTCACTATAGGGGTTTCTGATGCATTTGTCTCGGCGGGGAGGAGAGGCTGGTGGGGCGAGGACTGGGGTCAGGCCCAGCTCTCAGGCCTCACCGGCGGTCCACGCACAGCTGTTTCTGCTTTGCTTTTCTGAGCTGAGACTTCTGATTTGACCCGTGTCCTATTGTGTTTGCTTTGCACGTTCCCAGGACCCATTGCTGCAATGACTGCTGCTCCTGGCCTCCTCTGTGGTCCCCCACGGGGCGCCTTCTGACACTTTTTACTGGTGGGTCGGCAAACATTCATGGACAGAAATCGGTCTACAGGCCAATACGCAGGGCTGAATGTCCACCTGCAAATATCAGCCCATGTCTTTCTGCTAAGCATTCAGCGTCAACACCATACACAGGATAGAAGTGTTAAAAATGCTTTAGAAGAGCAATCTGTGTTGACTTACAAATGAGTGGACAGGGCAGGGGCTGTGGGAGGTCTCCTGGTTCATATGAAGACCCTGAAGCTGTCACATCAGCTGAGGACCCTGAGGGTACAATCTGCTGTTCCGTATTTCCCTAAATTGTGTACTTAAAGTGCAACGTCCCCATCCCTGTAGCGTGTGAGCTGTGAGTGGGCTGGCGGCCACGTGGTGCAGGAGCGCAAGGAGCACGCCATCACACGGGCCTCCCTTCACGGCGTTTGGCCAGATCTCTCACAGCCAGAGGGCCGCTGGGAAGAATGACTTCCACGGGCCCAGGGACAAATGCTTTGTAGAAACACGGTCAGTTACGATTGTTATATAGTTACTGACAGTGCGAAGGAAGCGCGTGAGCCTCCCGCCCCAGCTGCTGGTGTGACTGCGCCTCCCCAGACACGCTGCCCCCCCCCCCGCTTCTCAGTTTCTGTGGAGAAGCCGGCAGCGCAGCCTCCGTCGAGAGCCGCCTCAACCGTGAGCAGTGGTTTTCTCGGGGGAGGGCTCCTCCCCCGGAGCCAAAAGCTCCCATCGAGTAATTCAAGGCCAGTTTGCCTTGCTAATAAAAACTGACGGCAATGAGAGAGTCAGAGTTTGGGGAAGTCAATTCATCTTCGGTCCCTTGTGTTGGGGGGCGGGGGCCCATGGCTGCCCGGGTCCTGGCGGCTCTGTTCCTCCCCTCCCCTCCCTGCAGCAAGTCCTCCTTCATCTAAGCATTTGACCTGTCCCACTTCACTCTATTATTTGATTTGCAGGAGGAGGGAACACCTGTGGATGGCCACTCAGGTGGGGCACTAGGGCCACTTTGTTTATTGCTGACCAATATCTCGCCGATGATGGCCATGTCCAGGTGCAGGGTACTTGCTCTAATGGCCGTGCCGGGTGTGGTGCACCTGCTTGAATGGCCATGTCCAGCAGAGTCATTTCCTCCGTATCAATCTGTTGGACTCGGTCTGCTTTGCCAGGAATGAGCCCTTGTCAGCTGGTTAGGTGTGGGGCTGGGAGAGCCTGTGCATGACTAGGAGGGCACCCAGCCAACCCCAGGTCAGATCTGACCTAGTTGGCAATGATCTGGCGACCACACGTTCTGGGTCCTCACTCTTCCGCCTCGATGGCAGCAATGTGTGCAAAGGGCAAAGAGCGTGCCGTACGTTTTCTCTGGTGACCGCCAGCGTCAGAGTTGCATCGTGAGGTGGTCACCAGCACCTGCAGCTAAAGGAGCTGCCTCTCTGGAGAATGTCTTGACAACGTCAAGGACGAACACATGAGCCCTGTACTTACTGGTCTTCCTGGAGCTCCAACCGGACCCATCTGCCCCACAGGCCCAGGGCGGCCAGGGGGCCCCTAGGACAGGCAACCAGAGACGGCTGTTAGCAGAGGCAGGCGGTGCTTGGGGTCCTGATTCTTACAGTTCCGCTTGGACTCTTCTCTGATGAAAACAACGCTTACCTGGAAACCGACCAGTCCGGGCTCTCCAGGTTCCCCCTAATTGAGAAGAAATAATCTTAAGAGTTCTAGCTTTTAAGCATCATCAGATTTAGTTACATTTTATTCCAGTGTTGGAAATAAGTGTGTAAAGTGCATCCGCCTTCCCAGGACTCGGCCGTGTAATCCCCCAGGTGTCTGGAGTGTCGGGGATGTGGGAAAAGCCGCACCCACAGTGAGTGTAAGATCGAAATCAGCCTGAAGGGCACCGTCGTGATTTTATTCCACCGCCCTCTGCCCCCCCACCCCGAGTTCACCTGCAAGTTAACCTCGATGATGGGGAATTGACACTGGGATGCGCGGCCACGCCCCCACCCCTCCCGGCGTAAGACTTACCCTGTATTTGTCACGGTCCTCCCTGGACAGGGCGTAGGGTTCGCCTTTCTGACCTTTGGGTCCTTGGGGCCCCTAGATTAGCACAAAAATCATAGGAAGAAGAAATGAAAAAAGATCCGTTAGCGTTCAGAGCAGCGATGGTAATTTGAAGGGTTACTTGTTCCTTTTACAAGCAAGGTCTGGCTGTTCTCATGGCTTTGCTGGGTCACTCCGATCATCAGTGTGCCTTCAACTGCCAAGGTCGGGCTTTCGTGCTCACCCAGCCGCATCTTTCTTTGAGGTTAAAATGGAAATACAGGGTTTACGTTACTTTCAAAACCCAAGTGAACGTTCAGTAAACAAATCCTTTCCTCTGCCAGCCTGTTCCTTCTCTTTGTAATAATACCACTCTGTGTTTCCTTTGGCATTTGTGGACTGAAGATGTCAACACATTCACTCTGAGCACCATTCGTAGGAGAGGTCCTGCATCACCCTTTAAAAGTGGAATTGGGGTGGGAAGGGATAAATTTGGGAGTCTAGATTTGCAAATGTTAACCACTATATATAAAAACATAAAAAACAAAGTATCTTCTGTATAGCACGGGGAGCTCTATTCGATATCTTGTAGTAACTTTAAATGGAAAAGAATATGAAAACAAATATACGTATATACATGCATGGCTGGGACATTACACTGTGCACCAGAAACTGACACGTTGTAACTGACAGTACTTCCATTAAAAAAAAGTGTAATTTTGTTAAATACACAC